TTCTTCTTAAAACCTACTCTGTTACAATTCTTTATTTTCCAAAGTGTGGATGCTAATCAACCAACTATTGCTTACTCTTTGCATTGAATATAAAATACAACATTTCTAGGATTGTCCCACGATATAATTTTTTTTAAAAAAAATAGAAACAGTAAATATGATTACATTAAAAATACTTGTTCGAAACCTTGATATTAGCTAGGAAACCACTAAGTGTTCATTCAATCCTGTGAAATATGGTTGTGTGTAACTGAGCCATAGTGTGGCCATGCTCTCTTGTGTGCATGTGAAGAAGTGTACTTTAGACACCTACATCCAGGTTGCAAATGGGCTGGAGGGAACAGAGGACAAGATGGGATTTTGCATTTATGGTTTACTTGAATCAATTACTTAGCTTACTCGAAAACCTAATGGCTCTATAATGACTGTGGCCAATCTTAAACACACTCAAAGAAATGGAACTTTTTAGCTAGATTTTTTTTTTTTTTTTGACCATTCATCAGAAGTTAAAAGATAAATTGGTATGTTCATTGCTGTAGAATATCAAGCATGTATAGAGAGCACACAGATTGCAGGAGTCCTTAAAGAATATCTTAAATCTTCTTTTGACTTCTGTCAGTTGTAGTGTGTTCACTTGGTCTTTCTCGGTGTACCAGTTCAATTGTCAAGTGTCTTTGCTGCTTATTCCTGTGCCAGTGGCCTCTATGTAATCTGCATCTCTTGTCGTTTTACACACTTGAGGGCTAGCCTGCCTTTGCTACATGTTAAAAAGCTAAGGAACAAGTATGTGTTTTTTCATTAGATAATAAAATTCAATTCAGCTGTCTCAAGCTAAATTGTATCCACCTTATTTAAAACGTTGGAGTGATTTATGTTTAAATATTAGAAAGCTAAGGTAGTGAAGTTTGAAAATGTGTATGGCAGGGTAAGAAGGATATGTCTTGGGGATTTAGAGATAAGAGAGACTTAGTAATGAAATAGCTGCTTATGGCAGTTTGTAACTTGAAGTATGCATAAAACTGCTTTCATGCCATAGAACTGAAAAGGGGCTGGTGTGATCCCGATTTTTAGAAGATATTCAGGATAGAGCTAGGGGAGATACAAGTCAGTTCACCTCATGTCCATACCAGCCATATTAGTGGACATAACAATAAAGACTAGTGAAAATGTAGGTAAATGCAGTGAATGGAGGAGGAAGATGGACTCTGTGATGCTTGCAAAAGACAGTGATACTTGCCAAATCATATCAAGTTCTTTAAGAATACTAAAAGGTGTGGGAATGATAGACATCTGGTACATTCTATTTCTTAGGATAGAGCCAGACTAATTCTGTTTGCATGTGAGTTTCACAAGATGGTTGCCTGTCCCTTGGATTTTTTTTTGTTGGCCACTGTCAGAACAGGGTACTATCATGTTAGACCTCTGATCTCACACTGTTTGATTTGTTTAAAGAGACAGAACTGAGCATAACAAAATCAGTAATTAAGTATCTGAAGGTTTCTGGAGATTGACATTGATGTATTAAAGTTACTGTTTTCATGTAAGCATGTCTCGAACTCTGCTGTAGCTGTTTTCGGTGTTACACACTAGTCATGCTCTAGATTGAAATTACAAGATACTGCTCAAGTTAATTTCTTTAAATGTTTGTTTTAATGTCTGACTATCTCCTAATTTTGTGTTGAAGGCATAAAATATATGTATCTTACATTAAGTCTCCCTTTCTCCAATTGAATTTCTTCTAATTGTATCAAATCCTGAATAAGATAAAACCTTAGAGGTTTTGGGGAGATTTCAGATGACAGAAATCAAAGGCTGTAAGTCACATCTGGCATGTTGCTTCACTATGAAGTCTGGAGATAAGGCAAGAAATAAGTCGTTAATGGTATTTTAACCATTTAATTCTGTGATACTATCATCCATATGTCTAGAAGATAAGATAGACAACTCTTTGTTCATCTAGGTTAGGTTTTACTTTTTGGTGTGGGGTTTTGTGTGTGTGTAACATACAGTCTGACTTGTTTACTCTTAGGGAGTGGGTGGGGAGGAGCTATATTTTGTCCTCTGAATGTTGCTAATGTTGATAGTCTCATATCAGGGTTTATAGTTTAAGAAAGTTCTCTCAGGTTTCCACTTCAAGGCTATCCATTATTAAGATTAGGCAGATACAATGACACTGAGGGTATCTCTTTAACAGGGGCATATTGTACTCATTTCAGATGCTTCAGGATAGATACACGAACTACCAAGATCAGTGTTTTTTATTTACCTGCAACTTAAATCAATTATTTGACGTCTCTTTGGTAAGTTTAATTTAATAGATGTCATTCAAATCGCAGAATCTGTTAAGAGAAAATTTCCATTCAGTGCTCACTACATGTAACTGAGACTGTTACCTTTTATTTATATTTTTGATGCTATAAAATGTGAGTATCTTGGATAAGCATAGATTATATTGTAGAATGGCGGAAGATTACTGACAAATGTTACTGCCATGCAGGTGAAGTTTCACTGCTTTAATGTAGAGTAAAAATATGTGAAAATGACTGCTAAGAACTAGTTAGAACTAGAAGTTCCCATCCATTGGAAGGATCTGATGAGCAAGGATATACTAGTTAAACACTAAAGCTACTTGTGGTTGCCTAACTAATGATTTCAAACTCATGATAGTAATTTCTTATTAAACCTCATTAAGATGTTTACCAAGAAACTATAGTTACAGCCCTGTTATGTATAAGGAAAATGGAAGTGGAGGAAGAAGGCTCTTGTCAAAGTAATTTTAAAGTATACTGAAGTACAAGAATGAAATTCAGGTCTTGCAAACAGCCTGCAAACACTATTAGTGCCCGGGTTTTCTGGAACGTGAATTTTGGTAGGTTAAACTTAAAGTTACTTGAAGCAACTGTAAATTCTCCTCATGGATTTGTTTTAAAAATCTAGGTTATTCTCCCTCTCTTTTCCTCTGTTGAGACTTCTATTACTATTTGTACTGCTGCAGTTTGGCATGTGTTTCTATTGGCAATGATGTCTTAGTATACAACTTGTCTTTATATGTTGTAAACAAGCTGATCCAAAATTCTTTCTTGGTACAAGTGGATCTTTGTCTCTAAAATTATGCAGAATAAGCTATACACTATAGGTCTCCTGTTGTGCAGTTGGAACTAACACACTTTATCTTCCAACTATTCAGGATACAGTGTGGGTTTGAATGTGAAGTTTGGCTTTTTCTGTCATCAACAGCTACATACAATACTAAGATGTATCATGTAGTTATTAACAAATTTAATAAGCTGCAACTTGAAATGTCAAAACACCTTCCTTTTCTTAAGTTTTAAGGTAGTGTGTCTTCTGTAAAAAAGAATAAATTTACTTGCTGTGTTTCCCATGGTGCCATGCAGATGTAGGCAGGCTTTATGTAGGTGTTTGTGTGCTATGTAGAAGTAGGCAGATGTGGGATGGTATTCCTCCTCAATCTCTGGCATTTTATCATAAATCATACTAGTAGATATGATGGGTATGCTACTTATTTCAGTACCTATGTTGTTACTGATCACTTAGAATGTAGTAGGATGTCTGTTTTTCTGTGTAAACATTTTTATGCAAACTGGAGGTTAGAGTATGATGACCAGTGCATATGTGTTTTCCAAATTCTGTTGTGGACCTTTTGTATTGCTCCCAAAGAAGGAAGACCATTGTTTTAGGCTGAGTAAATATGCATGTGTGTATGTACGCGTGCATTTTGTATTTTTATATACATATAAAAATAGATGTGTGTGTGTGTACAGTTTGTATATGGTAGAGCATACTTGAAAATAATGGAACAGCCACTGCTTCAAAGCTGGATGTTAATATGTTCTTAATTTACAACTAACTTGATTAGGAGAAACTTTGTGAAGTCAGGAGGATTTGTTTAGCAAATGTGACATGGCTGTACTAGATAAGTTTTAAAGCAATCTGTGAAAAATAAGAGGAAGGGTTCCAACTTGAAAGACAAAAAAAAAAGTATTTAAGAATACTGGAAGACAAAAGAACTGTATGTGTTAGTGGATTCCAAATGACTTTGGAAGTAAGGTAATTCCATAAGTGCGATGTCCATGCTTACAGTGTGGAAGAAGCATTTTATAAGCCTGATGTTTAAGGCCTGTGTTTTGGTAGTGTTTGTAAAGGCACAGTGCAGGATATGTATTATGCAGGGGTGAATTACTTTGAAAGGATACATTTTATCAATTGTTTATTTTTTCTTTATCTGGAATTAATTTTAATAGTGACAAATACCACACTGCTCTTTTCTCTAAGCAAGTGTGTTCTCCTTTAAATTGTAGAAGCTTCTTAAAGCTGAAAGGAGTTAAAAATGACTTACAACATACATGGAATATAAATCAAAGGTGGTGTATTGCATAATAGCTGATGAGTTACTGTCTTGTGTGAATGTTCTTAAACATGAATTAAGGGAGATTATTTTTGAATTATTTCTCATAAGTAATTCTAGCAGTTCAACTTGTAAATTATATGTCACCCCTGAAATACAACAGTTTAATCAAAAACTTATGTCACCCCAGGCTTCTTGAAGAAAAATGACTTAGCTGATATTACCCATGACATTTCCTGTTGAGATTCTTATGAAAATTCTTGGCTTCAGTGATGTAACTCAGGTGTAAAAGTTTCTTAACAGGCCAGGCAGTTGTAGTTCTAGATGAGATCATATATGATGACACATGTTCTGAAACATGTTGGCTTTTTCTCTCCTCTTATGATCAGAAGGGGGGTTTAGGTTAACATTTAATTTTCATAAGATCTGAGCCTTTTACGAAGATTAAATCTTTTTCTATGTCACTATAATGATGAAAACCAATCTCTTGTTGATAGGAATTATTTAACTGTAAGAGTTACAATAATGTAATCAGTCATGCTGATCTTTCTGTTAGTACCAACTTTCTTAAGGGGCAGTTAAAATTCTTTATTTTGGTTATCTCAATAAGGTATTCTGTTTCTTTTCATTCTAGGCTATTTACTTTCTAGAAGAGAGGGTCAAGCAGGATCCCCTGAAAAACCATTGTCTGATCTGGGTCGTCTCTCATACTTGGCTTACTGGAAAAGTGTCATATTAGAATATCTTAACTGCCACCATGAAAAACAAATCAGCATCAAAGGAATGAGTCGAGCTACTGGAATGTGTCCACATGATATTGCCACAACCCTGCAGCAACATAGAATGATAGATAAAAGAGAAGATAGGTCAGTGAATCTTGTAAAATATTTTTAAAATACCAAGACAAAACATTCACATTCTCTACTTAAAAAATAGGTTTTTGATGTGAAAAATACCTGTGTCAAATTTTGACCTGAAAATGAATGATGACCACCTTACTGAAGAAATCATTACAGCTGGGTCTTGCTAATGGGGTCGTATCTAAAAAGTTTTTCTCCCTAAACAAATGGTGGTGTTTTGGATCCTCTTTGATATTAATGGTTACTAGAAGGGTGTGGCCAGCTTGAAACATTTTCAGTGAAGAAGATTCACTATCATCTTCTGTAAGTACGATTCCCAACTGTTGCTTTGCAAATATTTTGCTTTGAATACTGGTGAGAGAAAAACTTGCGTTTGTGGGTGGGTGGCAGTCTGTCTCTCCACACCCCCTTTTTTCAGTCCTTACTGCATTCACACAAGCCATGGGATCAGATCACCTCTATATGAAGTCCTCCTTCCCAAGGTACTACTGAGAATACAAGTTTCTATTTAATGATATGATCAATGTTGAGTTAGCACACTGGGAAGATGAGTTCTGTTTTGTGATTATCTTCCTCCTTAATCATTTTGATTGATATTTTAGACCTTGAGTGTTTTTTCTTGTTTGGGCTCTTTTTTTTTTTGTAAAATGCCTTTAAATGACTTTCAGTGGTATTTGTGTTTCTGAAGAGCTGCATAACTCTTTCTGGATATTCTAATCATAGAAACTTTATAATTAAGCAAAACTGCTTTAGAAACAGTGGGTTGCCAAAAAATAAAATGAAGATTGGGAATATCTCAGCCTCAATAACTTATGTTCACCACCGCTAGTATTCAAAACTAAGTTTTGAACTGATAAGAATGCAAGTCTTCAAAAAGGAGAGTAGCTTACTTGATGGTGTTATGAGAGAAGTAAGAGGAGTACTATCATTGCATTGAAACTGTAGCTTTCTGTGGTGCTTATTTATGGACAACCTGATGGGACAAATGCATTTTAAGGCAGAATCAAATAGGTGTTCATCACTTACATGCAGCCTTTGCCCTGTCACAAATTATTACAGGCCCTGAATACTGACAGCCAATTAGAAAATAACGTTTTATCTGTAGAATTCAAAATACTTTATGAACAAGGTCAGTTAGTCTTTTTTCACAGGTAGTAAAGCTTAGATAGGGGTGTGAATTGACCTGGCTAGAGGTATCCAGAAGGTCAGTGGCTGAGCCAGGAAGAGAAATCACGTATTTGAAATCCCTGCCAGACACTTATCTTGACAGTTGGGTATGGCTTCTTGTGATTTCCTAAACTTTGTTAATTTTTCTTACACATAGTGAAGTAGAAGTTCGTCACAGTTCTGTGAAAAGGGTTCAACTGGATCTGTTTGTTGGGGTTTTTTTAAACATCCTTATAGTTAAAAGCCATGTTATCACTTAACCTACCTGATTTTTTACAGCCTTTGAAATCCTTGCTAAAAAAACCAAAACAAAACAAAAACAAAAAAAAAAACCAACATATTTTTCATTGTTTAGAATTGTATAGTCCTTTGGGGAGCAGGTCTTTGGAAAGGGACCTGGGTTCCTGGTGAGTAACAAGCTCAATATGAGTGAACAGTGTGCTGCTGTGGCAAAGAAAGCCAACAGGATGCCTGGTTGCATCAGTAAAGGCATCACCAGCAGAGATGATGAAGTCATTATCGCACTCTACTCAGCGCTTATCAGGTCACACCTGGAACACTGTGTTCAGTTTTGTTTCCCACTGTACAAAAAAGATGTGGACAGGCTGGAGAGGGCCCAGAGGAGGGCCACAAAGTTGATCAAAGGACAGGGAAGCCTGCCATGTGAGGAAAGGCTGGGAGATTTAGGTTTGTTCAGTCTTGAGAAGAGTGGGCTTAGGGGAGACCTTATCACCATGATCCACCATTTAAAGGGTGGCTACAAAGTTGAAGACTCCATTTTTACAAGGAGGCACATGGAAAAGACAAGGGGTAATGGGTGCAAGTTACTCCTGGGGAGATTCTGATGGGACACAAGGGAAGTTTTTCAGAATGAGAACAATCAACCATTGGAATAATCTCCCCAGGGAACTTGTGCATTCCCCAACACTGGACACTTTTAAGATACAGCTGGATGGGGTGCTGGCCCATCTTGTCTAGACTGTGTTTTTGCCAAGAAATGTTGGACCAGATGATTCTTGAGGTCCCTTCCAACCTGGTATTCTGTGATTTGTAACAGGAGACTTTGGGTTATGTGCTAGTATATTAACACACTGTGTAATAACAGAGTTATTGTTAGTTTTTACCTATTTTCGATATGCTACTTCATTTCGTAGTAATTAGAAAATTGTTTTCTACTGCATCAGCATAGGGCTAAGTTACACTTTTATGTTTCATTAGAAAACTTGTGTTTCTAACTTGCTCTCTTGTCCAGTTAGTTGCCTAACCGTCTTCAGTTGTAATATTAATGACTTTCTCTCTCTAATTGATGATCCACAATGTTTTTCTATTTATGCTTCTGTGTTATATTAAACATGGAAATTGTTCTGGCAGTGACTGAAGGGCTAACATTTAACACTTGCATGGATTTCAAGTAATCAACTATAAAACGTTTACTTCAGTCTCTGTTGCTCTAGTGACATTTAATATTGAGCTTTCACTTCATAAACTGTTTTTTCCTCACTTCCTCTTAGTAAACAGTAGTAGTGCCAGCTGATATTTTCAGTTTGATGTATCCATTTATTTACTCATCTGTTTTCACAGGTTATTGTGCAAAAGGATTTAAACTGTAGGAAAGCTGTTTTAGAATATTGCTTTCTAAAATAAATTAATGTTTATTGGATTGTAGATTTGTAATTATTAGAAGGGAAAAGCTGATTTCAAGTCATATGGAGAAACTGAAAGCGAATCCACGTATCAATGAAGTAGATCCTGAAAGCTTGAGATGGACTCCTTTGTTAGCTTCTAATGCTGCAGTTTCTGAAGAAGAGAGAGAAGCAGAAAAGGAGGTAATAGCAAAAACTTCTTATTCTGGATTCCCCTTGCTTTGAATTTCATCACTCTGAATATTCAACATTAGGCTGTCTTAAATAGAATAGTTTTTACTTTGACTGCTGCTTAATGATAGAGGATACTGGTATTACTGTAATGCACAATTTTTGGAAGCTGTGCAAGACGTGGTAACTTTGGGGGGGTGAATATGAAACTTTAAAACATGAATCACTTGTCATGGAACTGTATTTATCACTCTTGAGGTAGTCGAAGAGCATGTAATCAGATCAAATTTGGTGCAGAGCTCAGGGGCTGCAGTGTCAATCGATTCTTTGTGTTATGAACTTGCTCAAAGTGATCCATGTCAGTGGGCATGTAATGTAGTGCTAAAGGACTTAAATCAATTCGCTGCATCATTAATAGTGCTAAATATCCCATGAAATGCAATCTTCTTTGGTTTGTTATCCTAACTGTTGTAAAGGAGCTACTAGATGATTCAGCTGAAATGTTGTTGCTAGGTTAGCCAGCAGTGCTAATCAGGGTTGACTTATTATAACTCTTTAGCTGAACGTAAAGGATATGGCTAAGTAAATGCTGTTTCAGTGACCCACTATTTTAACCTCAACCCTTCAGGCTGAGCGTCTGATGGAACAAGCTAGCTGCTGGGAAAAGGAAGAGCAAGAAATATTCTCCACAAGAACTAATAGTAGGCAATCACCTGCAAAAGTACAATCTAAAAATAAATATTTGCGATCTCCAGAAAGTGTGGCAGTGGTGGGGGAGCGAGGGCAATCCACAGACCAATCTAAGGAAAGCAGCGAGGAGGATGGCGGGGATGAGAATCAACAGAGTTCACCTCCCCGGCTGACAAAGCCACAGTCACTGGCCCTAAAAAGAAAGGTGTGTTACTTCAATGGTTTGGTTTAAAGTCATTCATCTCTGGTTTCAATCAAATTGTTATAATCAAAACAACAATCTGTTTTTTTACAAACATTTATTAGACTGTTTTAATCCTTTCTATATTGTTTGGACACTGAACAACTGTCTTCTGTTTTTTCTCCTCCATCCCTTTTTTTATCTTTTGGATTTTCCACAGAACAATCAGGATTTCCTGTTAATTTTTAAACTAGTGATTGCCCTCTGCTGTTTGGCATTGGTATTGGTTCAATATTTTAATGGTTCATCCTTTTTTCCTTTTAAGATGGAGTCCAGCTTGTGGTGTTTATCTTTCTGTTGTTTTTATTATAGGAAATCGTTAAAGGGGATTACTCTTTTTCCAAACAAGTACTGTTAAAACAAAAAAGGGGGGTTTTACCCATATTCTTCTAATTTCCAAGAGATTTTTAAATTCTGATTACTGCAGTGTTTACATAATTCTTAATTTGGTTGAAAAATCAACTATTTCAATGGCTTAAATTAGTAAACTAAGCATCCCAAAATTTGAAAGCATTCACCTTAGCATATGTATTGAGGTGTCTCTGGTGAGAGTTAGGGAACTGGAGTGTCCCTTTGTTTATAATACAGATGAGCAAACTTAAAAGTAACTATAAATCTGTGAGAATGCATAATAATAGAAATATAAACTATGGAACAGTTTTTTTCTTTATAGCAACCAACTGTAGGATTCTTTTAGTGTATTGGTGAGACCCATGTGAAACTTGAGGTGCACTTCCTTTGCTGTTACCTGTTTTTCTATATACATACTTATTTCTAAAATAGCAGAAACCAGAAATGTAGAAGAATAAACTTTGATACTTGTGAAGGTTATCGGGAGATTATAAATCTACAGAGGAAAAACATGTAAGTACAATTTATGTAATATTGCTATGAATATTATTTGACAGGAGAAGGTAAAAGTCACTACAATATGAAGAAAATTCTCATCTTAATTTTCACATACAGAAAGGTTTGTGTGCATGTATAGATACATATTTATTTTACCTGTTCAGACATTTTACTTTCACATTCTGTCTACATTTGAATTTGATGCAATATAAGATGATTTTTTGAATGAGTAAATAGTTATTGTAAACTCAGTTCACAAAAATGTATTTTTTTATATCCAGTGTCAGCTAATAGACAGTAATGTAGGAAGAGTTAAATTTGTGGAATTACTTTTTCAGAGACCTTTCATACTGAAAAAGAAAAGGGGCCGTAAACGCAGAAGGATTAACAGCAGTGTTACAACAGAGACAATTTCGGAAACAACAGAAGTGTTGAATGAGCCATTTGATAACTCGGATGAAGAGCGTCCCATGCCTCAGCTGGAACCTACCTGTGAGATGGATGGGGAGGACGATGACTTGAAGCCTGTGATTAGAAAAGCTTTTGAGTATCAACCTGGGCAGCAGAAACAGGAGAAGGAGGAAGAAGAGCAGAACAAGGAGGAGAAAGACATTCATTGTTACAGGAGTGATGACAGTTGTACAAGTAAGCTGAAAATGTTGTATCATCACAAAATTAATTTGTTGGGTGGCCTTCAAAGGATGTGTTTATTTTTGTCATAAATCTGGAAATTTTTAACAGGATATATATATTTAGCCATTTCAGCCTTAAAATCTTAGTCTTAATAGTGCTTTCCTTTTAGAGGTGCTACTGGAACCATTAATCTCATGTAGTTTATTAGAATTCCATGATGGCTTCAGATTTTGTTTTGTTTCTGTTGTGTTTACTTCTTTTGTAATTCCTGAGCCATTAATATTGTAATCTGTTTTTTTATGTTCAAGAAGCAATTGTTTTTCAGTCAGAAGCAATGCAGTCTTCATCATGTTGCTAAAACCAACTTTTATGTCCCTGCAACAGGGCATTTTTACTCAACAGAGCAGGGGTATCTCTGGATTATTGTATATTGGGTTTGTATCCTTGGTAAAGGATACAAGCAAAAAGTAAGATTTGATTTACACGAATATCTTTCTATTCAGCATTGTCGGTAATTCAATGACATGTTTGTTGGTTTTGGGACACAATATATCCTCAGTACTAGGGTCCTATTTTTTTCCCACAAAACGGAGGGATAGTTTTAACTGTATTCTTTCAAAGCTGCTTATCTAGTTTTGACTTCAAGGATATTTCCTGGGGGAAAAGCTAATGAATGGATAGTGAAACTACTAATGCTACTCTGAACATACACTCATTCTTTGACCTGGCTCTCAAATTACGCTTATAAGTGTTAATTCCAGAATGAATGACTAGATTCTTAGGTCTATATATTTTCTCTAAGAAGCCAGTGGGTATTATTTTACTATTTCCATAATTGCATGGGAAGTTTAATCTCTGTGATCCTCAGTTGAGGGATCATGTACTGATTTCTATTTTGAACAGCTTTTGTGTGACTAGAGCAATCATGCTTACGAATGTTGGTGCTGTTACAAACCAGTGCACAGGTACATCAGAATATTACTGCTTTTTCGTGCTTCTCAGTAGAAATGAATTAAACTAATTGTAGCAAATTCAGAGTGTTCCAGCTATGTCCCAGTGGTCATGTTTGCACTGCTTTAACTAGACTGATACTGTGTATTTGTACATGGACCACATCATCATATTAATTGACTGTAAGAGTGTTACAACACTACAGTGAGAGGCAGAACTTGACAAAGGACTATCACTGAAGCCGTTACTCTCCTGAGTGCAGCATGTTATATCCTGAGAATTCTCCGTTTTTCTGGTGCATGTGTAAGTGATATCTGGGGAGAGAGGAGAGGGAGCGAATGTGCTTGGATATTTTTTTTACAGTCAGTGGATTTAGTGTTCTGATGCACTGTGTTTACTTTCAGTTATCTTTTGCATTTTGTCATGTATTGTGAGTTGTGACATATGCTGGCCATGAGAAGATACCAGAATGAACCACCCTTTTTTTTTTTTTTTCAGTGTTGGTACTAAAGCATGATTATCTGCTTACTATGGCTTGTCCTCTGGAATGGTCAAACAGGAAACTCCAGACTCTTATGTTATTAATATCGAAAAAGATGAATATGCATTAGATCAATATCTCTATAAAGTGATGGCATACTTCTATTCTAAAAACAAAGGTTGATAATCAAATATTTAGACAATATTTTTGCTTTAGTTTACATGTCTTGTGATTCAAATCTCTGGGATTATTCTAGTGTTTCAATAGTGCTTCTGATGGTAACTGTTAAAAGGCCACCAAACAAGAACATCTTTACATATCTGTTTAAGTGTGCTTGAGCTGTAAATTTATGTCATTATATTGTGGTTTGAGATCTGTTTATAACTCTTGTTCCAGAGCTTCATAATATATTTTGAGTTTATAAATTATTTTTGAGTTTATATTTGAAAATATTGATTAGTTTGTACAAGCTAAGACTTTTCTTTTGTCTCTGTTGCTTCCTAAGGTAATACAGAGGCTGTAGCTGTGTTGGAAGAAAGCACTAAAGACAATCTCGAACCTTTAAAGAGTAAGCAGGGTTGGCCCAAAGGAGTTAAGCGTGGTCCCTCTAAATGGAGGCAAAGCAAAGAAAGAAAACCTGGCTTTAAGTTAAACTTATACACTCCACCTGAGACTCCTATGGAGCCTGACTATCAGGTGATGGTGGAGGAACAAAAGGAAGTTGCTGAAGACAAGCCCTGCTCAGTTCCTGCTGTTATGGAGGAAGTGATTAAAAAGCCTGTTGAAGTATTACCACCACCCAGTGATGAGGTAAAAGAGGTAGAACCTGAACCTCTGTGTCCACCCAGTGAACCATTTGAAAAACAAGAAAATGATACCATGAAAGCTGGGGAAGAAGAAAGGAATGTAGAAGAAAGTGGAATCAATTTAAAAGATCAAGAAAAAGACAAAGGAGGAGAGATGTTTTTGCAAAAAGAGGAATCTGTGCATTTGGATGATCAGGAGGAGGAGGAGGAAGATGATGAAGAACCTTCTCACAATGAGGATCATGATGCAGACGATGAAGATGATAGCCACATGGGTTCAACAGAAGTGGAGAAAGAGGAAATGCCTGGTGAAGCTTTCAAAGAAATGCTGGAAACTCAGCAATCTTTTTTAGACGTAAATGTTCAAACTGGTAATTCAAATCAGGAAGACTTAATGGAATGTGGTGTTGACCTTGCAGCTGATGAGTGTGAAAGTGGCCAGAAAGAACTTGCTACAGATTCAGACCCAGTGCCTGAATCTGATGATGATCATACAGATAACAACCCGGACCAAAAAGCTGGAGAAGAATCACATTCCGAATTCAAGGGAGAGAGTACTGAGACCATGGAGATTGATTCAGAGACTGTTCAAGCAGTACAGTCTCTAACCCAAGAAGCCAGTGAACATGAAGATACGTTTCAGGACTGTGCAGAGACTCAAGAGGCCTGTAGAAGTTTGCAAAACTATGCCCATAATGACCAAAGTCCCCAAATGACCACGCTGGATGATTGTCAGCAGTCTGACCATAGTAGCCCAGTTTCGTCTGTACACTCTCATCCCAGCCAGTCAGTTCGTTCTGTTAATAGTCCAAATGTTGCTCCTTTAGAGAACAGCTATGCTCAGATCAGCCCAGATCAAAGTGCCATTTCTGTGCCGTCTCTACAGAACATGGAGACCAGCCCAATGATGGACGTTCCCTCAGTTTCTGATCATTCGCAACAGGTTGTGGATAGTGGGTTTAGTGACTTAGGGAGCATTGAGAGCACAACAGAAAACTATGAAAACCCAAGCAGTTATGATTCTACAATGGGTAGTAGTATCTGTGGAAACAATTCTTCTCAAAACAGTTGCTCATACAGTAGCCTTACATCCAGTAACCTAACACAGAGTAGCTGTGCAGTGACACAGCAGATGTCTAACATTAATGGAAGCTGCAGTATGATGCAACAAACAAATATCAATTCCCCTCCCACATGTAATGTAAAATCTCCCCAAGGCTGTGTTGTTGAAAGGCCTCCAAGCAGCAACCAACAGTTATCCCAATGCAGCATGGCCGCTAATTTTACCCCACCTATGCAGTTAACTGAAATCCCTGAGACTGGCAATGCCAGCATTGGATTATATGAAAGAATGGGGCAGAGTGAATTTGGAGCAGGGCATTACTCACAGCCATCTGCCACCTTCAGCCTTGCCAAACTGCAACAGTTAACTAACACGCTTATGGATCATTCTTTGCCTTACAGCCATTCAGCTGCTGTAACTTCCTATGCAAACAGTGCCTCTTTGTCCACCCCCTTAAGTAATACAGGTCTTGTTCAGCTTTCTCAGTCTCCACATGCTGTTCCTGGAGGGCCCCAAGCACAGGCTACCATGACCCCGCCCCCCAACCTTACTCCTCCTCCCATGAATTTGCCACCTCCCCTTTTGCAGCGTAATATTACTTCATCGAATATTGGAATATCCCACACCCAAAGACTGCAGACTCAGATGGCCAGCAAAGGTCATGTTTCTGTAAGAACCAAATCCACGCCTCTGCCACCTGCTGCAGCAGCCCATCAGCCACAAATTTATGGGCGTGCTTCACAGACTGTGGCCATGCAAGGGCCCGCACGGACCTTAACGATGCAGCGTGGTATGAACATGAGTGTAAATTTGATGCCAGCCCCAGCTTATAATGTCAATTCAGTGAACATGAATATGAATACCCTTAATGCTATGAATGGTTATAGTATGTCCCAGCCAATGATGAATAGTGGATATCACAGTAATCATGGGTATATGAATCAAACACCCCAGTACCCTATGCAGATGCAGATGGGGATGATGGGAACTCAGCCATATGCACAGCAACCAATGCAGACAGCACCCCACAGTAACATGATGTACACTCCTCCAGGGCATCATGGCTACATGAATACAGGCATGTCTAAGCAGTCTCTTAATGGATCCTACATGAGAAGGTAGGCCCTTTGGAGAGACAGACTACCAAACTGGCATTTTGGATTGATCTGCACAAATATCTTTTGGAGAGTACGATTTCAAAACCAGCAATTGGTGTGAATGCAAAAACATTTGTTGGCACCATATAGAAGCTGTATGCAGCAAAAGCCTTATACAAGTTTTTCTTTTTTCTTTATTTCTTGTTTTGTATTTTGTTTCTTTTTGTTTGGTTGGGGTTTTTTTTGTGGGATTTAACTTCTCTTCATTGGGGGGAATTAGGTGGTTTTCCATTTTTTGTTTATTTCATTGAGCTTGAAGTTCTCTGGAAAGGAAGAACTCTTTCTATGAACTGCAATTACACAGCAGCTGATGGTTCAGAGCCATTTTATGTGCCTGCTCCCATTAAAAATGTGGATAAATAGACTCCAAAACTATCAGACAGTACTGGATCGTGAGCTTTTTCTCTCCTTTCCCCACATGTAAATGCCTTTTAGCAGTTCTTTTATTGTATTATTTTGTTTCTGAAGGTGACACTTCTGCATGCCGCTAATGTCTTTGTTAGTGACAGTGCATTTTGTAGTACTGTACAAGTGTTGTGCTTAACAGTAAGCCATTTCTTAATTTTTTTGCCTTGATTAGGTTACCCTAGTTTGAGGGGTAAAAAAAACAGAACTATATTTTTGTTAATTATAAAACTTGTAAAAAATAATTAAAAAAAAAAGCTGCAAAAGCTATTCACATTTTAGTTAGTTCAAAGGGTTTTATTGCTGTATGTTTAGTGTAAAGTTGAGACTTTTCCATTTTTGTGACCAGTTTCTTTGGGGCTGGGGTAGGAAAAAAGGCAGCTTTCTGTTTTATAAATACTGTTACGGTTTTTTGTTGATTGAAACATCTCAGTGTTTATTTGTCAAGTTTTGAAACATTTTCATATATGTCCAAATACCTGGCAGGATTAAAAAAAAGAAAGTAGTGAATTTGGTGTAAAGTTGCTATTTTATGGAAATGCCTCTAACTTTACATTTTCATTCCATCTGTAGATTTTTCTATCTTTATAAAATATTGGAGTTATTTTTTAAGGGAAAAAATAGAGCAGTAGCGTGTGAATAGCTCAAACTAAGCTTACAGATCGCATGTAAAAAGGCAAAAGTTATTTGTGTCTGTTTATATTGCTTCCTTTTTTGTAGCCTTTGTACCTGTACAGAGTGACTGTAAGGGCCGAACAGAAGAGGCTTGGTACATGTAAAAATAGGACCCAGTGACACTCTTGTATTTATCTGTTATCTTTTTAGTCAGTCACTTAAAAAAATACCCCACACACAAAAAACCCACCCAAGAAACAAAAATAAAAACTACAAAAAAACAACACACACACATACCCCAAGCTGTACATTTTAACATAAAATAAATTATGATGAGCCATTTTTAGCCTCTTGTGTCTTGTCATAGTTTGATGTTGCATGGGACTTACCTCCTGAAACAGTGTTTGCTACAGTGCTCTCACATGCTTGATCTAAAGCCCATTAAAGTTGATGGGGTTTGGATTAGGCTGTTAGAGCCTAAGTGTAGGTTACTCTCATAATTGCATACACCTTGTGAAAATAAAGAGTATCTAAGATTATTTTTTTTAATAATCTTAATAAAATATTGAATAAATATGTATTTAATACATTTCAAGGTTGTCAATATTTAATGTATGAAACTTCTTTCCTATAGAAAGTGTTATATATGTTAAAGGGTTTATGATAGTAATAGACGTGGTGTTTGAACTCTATCCTAATGGTAGAATTGTGATCTCTTCCTTTGTCATTGTTGCTGGGTTACAAGATGATGCAAATCTTGTGTTGAACCTCTGAGTTCTGTATAAATGCATGTATATGTGTGCCCATGGACACATACACACATATATGAACACTTACAATCTAGCAATAGAAGGTCTGTAAAAATGAAGACGGTTGTTGATACATGGAGCTTGAGAGTGGACTGTGTTTAAATTGGGTGTGTATAAATCTACACCAGAAAAATTCCTTGTAAGTATTTATCAAAAATGCTTCTAATGTGAATGTTGCCGCTGAATTCCCCCCTCTAGCCCACTGAAATGCTGCAGGAAGGTTGCTAGCTAAGGTGAAAGGATGGGTTGTCTTAACTGAAAACTCTGTCCCCATTCCAGTGTATAAAGTAGCTTTATGGGTGATACATGCTCAAAAGTCAGAGCAATGTGTATTTCTTTAAATAAAATCCTTAAAGTTTGTGGTCTTGCCAAATCAAGAAATTGATGCTACAGGTTCATGCACATACCTGTTCATTTTTAATATGATGGGCCAGCAGTCTAAAATAGCAGATCTGAATGGGAGCTAAAATTGCTGGTCAAATGGTAATTTGGAGTAACTTGTGTTTTAGGAGTTCAGAATGCTTGATAAGGAGAGCAAAATACAACAAAGATCTTTGTTCATGCACTTACAGTGTCAAATTTGCTTTTTGAAGGCAGAGAGTATTCATAGTATGTAAACCATGTGTGTGTTCATCTTCACAAAGTTGCTGTCACATTTTTTTAGGCATAGGAAAAGGAAAGTTGAACTCAACGCAGTTAACATGCAGCCTTTCAACTAGGACTTTGCTGGATAATTGCATCTCACAGTACCACTATGTTTTGTGATTTTTAGTTTTTACAGTGAGAGAAAAAAGCACCCAGGTCTTTCTCCAGTGCTGTTTAGTTTCAGGTTTCTAAGCCAGTAACATACAGGCAATTCAGACCTTCTTACCATTTCAGTATATGCTGACCTGAAATGGAGCATGCTGACTCCAGCATATTACTGAAATTCTGTATTTGCAATGTATGGATTAAAAGTTATGTGGAAAATGATGCACTGTATGTGCTCAACAGACATGTTTCCAATATTAATTTTATTTTGGAACTGAATGTCTTTCAGGAGGACAATTGGCTTTCTTACATCTTTTCTCATATAGCTGTGAATTGCATTACTGCACTAAAATTTCTGTTTCATAAGAAGGCTGTCTTTTCCTTGGAAGATCTACTACTTCTATGTATTGTGTGCCCATTGTAATGTCAGTTTTGACAGTGTGCCCTAGCAGCACCCCAGTTGAGAACTAGCTCTTACTTGAGTCTCAAAGAATTCTTCAGATTTGCAATAGGTGATTCTTGTGAAATGCAGGAGGTTTCCCTGCCCATGCAATCTTAGTCTTTGGCTTCACAAATAGAATACTCCATACCACTAGTGATTTGCAAGAAGGAAATAAATTTGCCTCATTCTGCATGTACTTTTGCTTGCAGGCCTGGCTTGTAGGTGAAGTCACTGCTGCTAACACTTATTAGTTATCTAGTTAGCAACTTGCAGGAGTTGCCTGCTTTGAGGAAGCTACGTGTTCCCAAACTTTTGCTTTTTCTGATTTAGTCTAATTCTGGGAGAATTGGAAGGGGAAAAAAGCTGGAAAGTAAGAAGTGTGTTTACTTCAGAATTGTATAATTGGCCTACCTGTACCAGAGACCTTTCTTCGGAGCAGAATTTACTTCATCTGGTAGATGCCAAATGACAGTACTCTTGAAAGCTGCACTCTAGCCCTTTAGCTAAGATGGCAATGATATGTATTGTTGCACTCTAGCTATGTGATCTCCTAGCAGTGGGCAAAATATAACCTAATTTTTACTAACTGTGAGAAGCTGTGTCATATAAGAGACAGAGGACTTCTAAACGTACAAAAAAAAGTCATGTTAGATCGCTGTCTTACGTCTTTTAGTTCTGTAAGCTGTTTATTTTGTCTATCAGGCAGGCTAGTTGATGGAATCAAACTGCACTTAAATACAGTGTGATAAATAGAAAGAATGGGCCTGGCAATTATCTGCAGTTTTGAGGGTGATCCTAGTACAGCCTGTTCTGTAGAGACTGATACCTTTAGTGGCAGGCAAACTGACCAGTGTAGTAAAGATCTATGACTGTTTTTCTTCCCCTACCCTTTACTTTTAATAGTGTTCTGTATCAAAACTAGGTCTTTCCAGCATATGTACATATCGGTTAACTCTTCATAGTGAAGCTCTGGTTTGAGCTTTTTGTGGAGTAGGGAGTGTGTTTGTAAGCAGATACAAGGTAGGATTACAAGTTCTGGCTTTATCATAACTTTGAGTAATTTAAATTCTTGTTAGTTATTTTTTTTCTCTGTCCACTAAATAAGAATAAGTTTAAGCTGTGTTTAAGGCCTTTAAGTAGTATGTGTAGAAACACTGGAATACAGGGTTCTATTCCAGTTTTACTTCTTGAGAAATCAGTTGTGCTATTTTTCATCTCCATGCAAGAATAGCAGCTCCTGGTTTCTCAGTAGCTTGGAATCCTGTCCTTTTAGATTGTCAATACATTCTTCTGTCACTATGTCAGTGTTGCCATTTGCCAATTTCCTAATCTCCTATGCAGGACAAAATGAGTGGGAACTACTTAAGAGGTCTGAGTATTTTGCTTTCTATCAGTATTTGGGAGACTGCTGTTTGAAAGCTCTGTCAGTCTCCACCAAAAGCAGTTGGGCCTCAGGAAATTTAAAATTTTTCCTTGTGTATTTGCACAATTCTCAGACTGCAAAAGAAATACCCATCTCCAGGCCCCAGAAAATGTTCAAGTACAATTCTGCATGTAAATCAGCTACAAAGCCTCTTCTAGTTACAGCAGTCATCAACCTATCATGCAGTACACAAGAAAGAAAATAACCTATACCTTGACTGAAGTAAATACTGGTAGATACTTGTTGTATTTTAAAACATCATTTGGTATAGAATTGCTGTCTGTAAGGCTACTGCTAAGAAACACATTGCTGACAGAGGTGAGAAAGCTCAGCTTTCTTCATCACAGTAAATGAAAGAGCAGGGCCATGTGTCTGAAAGGCAGGTTTGTCAGACATAAAGCTGGGCAAACTGTTGCATGTCTGGGTTGTGAATTAAATCGCAGTAGAGAGTAAGGTGCTCTCAAAAGGTGCACTTGAAGGTCTATGGAAGTAGATGGAAAGAGTTGAGAGACCTCATCCAAGAATTTGTTGACTCTTTAAACCCACATTGTAACTGCTCATTTATTTTTGAAGTGTCAAATGACTTCCTTTGAGTTTCCTTTTATTTCTGTTTTTTTCTGTGTTGTTTTTTCTAATCAAGTGTAGAGATCCTGCTGTAAGTCCTAGAGTTAGTGAACAAAATCCCTGATAGAGATACACACTGTGATGTGTTATTTGTTTTTTAATAGGAGTCTAGTTGTGTTTATTGTGTTCTGCTGTGTTGAGAATTTGAAGGCAAGGTATTTATTATACAAGTAAATACAAGCATTGCATTATGGGTGCTTGCAGCCTTGGCTACAGTTACTGTTTGGAGATGACTAATTTACTGGGTTTTGGGCCCCAGAAGGAAGGGAAGGAATAGAAAAGCCTTCACACTAGAGAGGTTAAGCTTATAAAGAGCTGTTAACATGTACAAAAAATGGTCTACAGTTGTGCTCAACTCTATTTGGTTTGTAGTGTATACTTGCAGTTTTCACTGGCACGTTTCTGCCCTGTGTTCTTTCTTTTTTTAGGAAGTGTCCAAGATTTCTACAGTCTGTACTGCACCAAAGTCACAGTCTTTGTCAGGTGGTAAAGACCAAGAAAACTGTGCTCTCAGTGGCTAGGTTGCTCCTCTTGGGCACTGAGGCAGTAAATAGCTCTTACCTGCTACATTGAATTAGGCAAAATTCCGGTGGGGAGGGTGATGACTTGACTGTTTTGCAACTGCAAAAAAGGTAAATGTGGCTTAATTGTAATCCTCCTCTACAGTATATTTTAAGAATCTCACATACTGCTAAGGTGGAAAAACTGATTGTGTCAAAACAGTTACTCATAATTTGTATCAAATAGAGGAAATTGAATAGGCAAAAAAGTAGTCCCCATTTGTGTATTTAGACTACTTCTGTCAACAAATACAATTATTAGCAACTGCATTGGAGCACAATAATGTATTAAGGTGTCTAGAGCTGAGATAGAAAATACTTGGTAGTGGTTTCTGAAAGCACAGCAGCAGCTTTTTCCTGGTTAATGAGGTTGTGAGGTATTTTTTTTTAAAGCCTTCGCCTGTGTCTTTTGCCTTTTTAATCAAAAATAAAATCTTAATAGAACGGGTTATCAGGGCTCCACAAGTTTGATCTTGAACTTTCTCTTAGCAGTGTAAAGGACATCCTATTTTTCTTGTTTTTTCTAGCCATTATTTTTTCCAAGTGCAGGAAAGCAAGTCACCACACCTAATTTTTTCAGTCTTTTTTTTTGTGGACTAGTAAATTGACTTGGATACTCTGTATGTAGGACCTCTTAAAATTCAGGCAGTTGAAGCATTTAGGAAAAACAAGTTAAAACTGAAACTGCTAAAATATCATATGTATTTATCTCCTGAATTGTTGCCCGTTATA